AGAATTCTGGCTTTTTTCTCAGAATTCTGACTTTAATCTCAGAATTCCCGCTTTTGAATTCTGACTTTAATCTCTCTTAATGTCGATGTGCACCATGAAGGAAGAGATGTGGGAGCACTCAGCTTCACTAACAAAGATGTGAGTTGTTTGGGAGGGCCGGTAACACATTGGTGGAAAATGACGGAATTAGGCAACTTTTGACGTGCCTGAAGGGTCCCCTGTGATGCTATTTTATTAATGGAAGAGCAGAAGGTGATTAAAACAAGAGAGCTAGTTTATTCTCTAAAACTGACATGGTTACAGCTTGATGCTAACATGCTTATTAGCTGTCAGATTTCTGTCAGAATTCTGAGAAAAAAGTCAGAATTCTGACTTTTTTCTCATATTATACTGAAATAAAATTTAAAAATCAGTTAGCTTTTTTAAATTTTTTTCAGTGGCCCTAATCCTCTTCCGTAAATTAGGGACGTTTCTGAAGCTCATTTGATTTATTGGGTTTCTCATATATATAGGGTTTGTATTGCCTCTTTGAAAATGTATTCCTTGCTATTTGCCATTTGGTCATATTTAAATCTATTGGTTTTATAATTAAGCAATCAAGTTTTCATGAAAATCATTTAGCAATACATCTCAGTAACTTCTCTGTCCATCAGTTCTCGCAAATTTTAATCGGCCTGAGCTTTGACTGGACCGTTGCTGCACCTTGAATCTTTTTATCCATCCATTCTGCTATTCATTAGCTGCTGTGTTTGCGGTCAGTCCCGATGACCTGGGCTTGGACAAACTTCAGCTCTCAGAGGGATGCCTCACATTAAACTTTTGTGCACTTTGCCATACAGGCGAGTTCATGGTCAGTTAGCTTATCAATGGATAGAGCTGCATTTGCTGACTGACACTTTATTGTGAAAAAACTGCATCACTCCCTCTTATTATGTCTCAAATACTGGTCCCAGATGGATTACAGCTGACTGTCACAAACCTATTTAAGAATTATATAGAAATTAGTACAATGATGGGTATATATTGTATTTAATCCTAGCAGAATAGTTAGGCCTTTATTGTGTTGTTTGTGCAGTGGATAGAGCAAACGTTTGCACCAGAAGGAAACATA